GACCAGATGCAGGCCGAATGTAGACAAAGACCCCCCCCCCCCCCCCCCCCCCCCCCCCCCCCAAACAACGAAACAGGCAGGTTCGAGCAAGGTATAGGTTGGGCGCGAACCAGCTCTTGGCCTCTTACTCAACGGGTATCCGGTAGGGGCATACCGGAAATTTGGAACCGGTACCGGTAGGGGCATACAGAACATATTCCAGGCCCAGACGAACCCCCTTTTTTTGGGGAACCTTGAAAAGTTGCAGAGGGGCACAACAGGGTAAGTCGGCCGTTGCAGGGGCATGCCCACAACAGGGTAAGTCGGCCGTTGCAGGGGCATGCCGCAAATAAGTGGGTTTCGGAGGGGCATTTCGAAAATTTCCCTTTTGAAAATCATGAATATCTAAAAAAAGCAAATGGTTTTTTTGTCTAATTGATTGTTATTGTTATACTGTAAACCCCACAAAGTTCACGCTCTTTCTATTTATCCTTATTTGTGTGACTTGAGTGCTCTCATGTCCTTTTTTTTTTGCCCGGTGTGTTGTCAAGTTCGTTATCCGCAACTCCCCCCCCCCCCCCCAAAAAAAAAAAAAAGCTCGAATTTTCAACGCCGCATCAATCCGAAGTTTGAACCCCGCCAGTCTGCCCAGAATGCCATTTAACTGGCCCATTGATGGACACGTAACAGCACATCGCCCAACACACCGACCGTTGAGGGGAACAGTGGTCACCAACGGGCCTACCGGTAGCTCAGGGCATACTCACACGGCGACCCCAAATCCGCAAAATATGCGGATTTGGGAAGGGCYGATTTGAGGTTTTGGGCATGGTTCACGTCACACTGCTGTACCTTTTCAGAGCATACTCACACGGGGACCTATAATCCCAAAATCCCCAAAAAAAAAAGGAAAAGGGCGGTCACACGGATCTACCAAATTCTCAACTGTACTATTCGAGTGCCCATTTGTCAGCGGCCTGGGAAGCCGCGGGGCAAGGGATTTTGTGGTCACCTCTGGAGGTGACCGCAAATTCCCTTTTTTTTCATTTTCTTCAGAAATTGGCAAAAATTCGTTCACAAAAGTTCTTGCACAATTGGTGAATGGCGCCGTGTTCCCCATTTCTCCAGACGGCCGCGACCTTGTCCCATCTGAGGGCACGCTCACACTGCGGTAGCAAATCCGTATAAATTGCGAAAATGGGTTGGGCCGAATTGGGGTATTTGGGACGTTTCAGGTCACACTGCGTTCACACCGCGTTCCCATTTCGCTAAAGACACGGTCGCTACCGTGCCATCAGGGTGCTGCTGTTTGGGGTTTCCAGTCTCACAGAAGTAACCCCAAATATAGAACGTACATGTTCCCTTTTCAACTTTGCATTCATTTACGAAAATTAAATAAAAAAAGAATTTGGGGGTTACCGCAAATTCCTCAAACCCGTGGCCAGGCAGGCCGCTGACAAATAGGTTTGCCAATGGGGTGTTTGGGGTCGGAAGCATTGTGCGTGACCAGCCGTGTGCACATTTTTTTGGGAGTTTTACGGTTTTGGTACCCAGTGTGAGCGTGCCCAGTGGGTACACCATTGACTGTTGAAATACAGACCCAAGTTCGAATCCAGATGCAATCGGATGAACAGAACAAAATCACTCTGAATTACCTGGGGCCGGTCAGTTCAATAATGATCATATCTCAAGGCCACCGTCATCTCAAAAACAGAAAGTGGTCAACGTTAACACCAAGGTGGCAATAAGTCTGAGAAACCAGTCTGTCTTTTTTGCAGCCTCCGAGCTGCTGGGTCTATGCAAGGCCCGCAGGCATGAGGCCTGTAAGCTAAGCTGGATGATGCTTCCAGATACCGCCGGGTGTATTGT